TAGTTCAGCCAAACCAGGGCGTTGAGTGCCATGTTCAGTCTTCCCTTAAACACCTCCAGGGATGGTGACTCCACCACTTCCCTGGACTGCCCATTCCAAGGTTCAATGACCCTTCCTGTGAAGGAATCTTTCCTAATATCCCACATAAAAGTCCCCTGATGCTGCTTAAGACCGTGTCCTCTTATCCTGTCCCTGTTCCCTGGGAGCAGAGCCTGACCCCCACATGGCTGCTCCCTCCTCTCAGGGAGTTGTGAGGGTGAGAAGGTCCCCCCTGAGCCTCCCTTCTTCCAGGTTGAGCCCCCCAGCTCCCTCAGCCTCTCTGATGCTCCAGCCCCTTCCCCAGCATCATTGCCACTCTAGACATGCTCCAACACCTCCATGTCCTTCTTGAAGTGAGGGACCCAGAACTAGAAAAAGGACTTGAGGTGTGGGCCTCACCCACGCCAGGGGGACAATCCCTTCCTTGGTCTGGCTGCCCCCGGGCTACAGGCCATGTTCATACAGGCCAGGATGTCCTTGACTTTCTTGGCCACCTGGTGCTCATGTTCAGCTGCTATTGAGAGCACCCCCAGGACCTTTTCCACTGTGCTTTTTTCAACCACTCTGCCACAAGTCTGGAGTGAAGGCACAGGACAGCAGGATACAGGTGTTCCATGGTGCCTCGCCATGGCCATGGAAACAGCCCAACAAAGTGGCCCTGATCCAGCTCCCATCTGGTCCTGTGTGGCCCAAGGTGCAGACAGTGACACCAAGAGCAGAGCCCCAGCACCAACGCCTTTATTGCTGCTCAGAGGGAGGAGGGAAGGGGGTGGCCCACGGCAGGGGACCCCCAGCTCATGGTAGCACCAGGTGAGGCCCCAGCAGGAGGATGGAGGGTGCAGGCCAAGGCAGCAGTGCAGGACAGTGGCAGGACTGGTGGTCTTTGGCTCAGGCAGGGAAGGGCAAAGTGGTGAATGGAGCAGATTTACTGCTGAAGGGCTCTCATTGCCTCATCTTCATCGCCGGGGCTGGAAGCGAACGTCTGCTCCAAGCAGCAGGAAATTCTGGGAAAAAGAGAGAAAGCGCTGGGCTGCTACGGGCCCTGGCAGCTGCACTGCCCAGCACCCAGCACACCCCTGAAGACAGAATGGATTGGGACATGTGCTCTGGTTTGCTGCTGGGCCATTGGGATCTCAGTGAAGAGCACCTTCCCTTTCATCACTTTCCAGCACGGCTGGAGGAACTGGATTTGAAGGCTGTGCTGGTCAGCAGGACTTTGTAGGCAGCAGGATGGGGCCCAGCTGGGGCCAGCTGCTCCCTCTCACTCACCTGGTGGAACCTCACAAGGATATTGGAGAGCTGAATTCTGTCCAGAAGTGGCAGGGGGAAACCCTCATCTAAGCGGGCTGCAAAAGACAACACATGTGTCTGCATTGGGATGGCAATGGGAGTCAAGGGAGCACAGAGCACTCAGAGAAGGTGGCCCCCTCCTCCCCCCAGCCCTTTCCTCTCCTCCACTGCTCCTGGGGCAGGCAGAGGAAACTCCTGCCAAGCTCCACAGAAGGGCTGCTGTTGTGCCAGGACAGCCCCCTTGGGCA